CTGCGTAACATTAGTTAATAATGTGTAACATTAGTTAATACTGCGTGACATTAGTCAATACTGCGTGACATTAGTCAATACTGCGTGACATTAGTCAATACTGCGTAACATTAGTTAATACTGTGTAACATTAGTTAATAATGTGTAACATTAGTTAATAATGTGTAACATTAGTTAATACTGTGTAACAGTTAATACTGTGTAACATTAGTCAATACTGCGTAACATTAGTTAATACTGCGTGACATTAGTCAATACTGCGTAACATTAGTCAATACTGCGTAACATTAGTCAATACTGCGTAACATTAGTTAATACTGCGTAACATTAGTCAATACTGCGTAACATTAGTCAATACTGCGTAACATTAGTTAATACTGCGTAACATTAGTTAATACTGTGTAACATTAGTTAATACTGTGTAACATTAGTTAATACTGTGTAACAGTTAATACTGTGTAACAGTTAATACTGTGTAACATTAGTTAATAATGCGTAACATCAGTTAATACTGTGTAACAGTTAATACTGTGTAACATTAGTTAATAATGCGTAACATCAGTTAATAATGTGTAACATTAGTTAATAATGCGTAACATCAGTTAATAATGTGTAACATTAGTTAATAATGTGTAACATTAGTTAATAATGTGTAACATTAGTTAATAATGTGTAACATTAGTTAACCTCTTGTAAATAAAGAAGGAACACATTAAACTATATAAACTAATTTGTCCCACTCAGAGCACAGTTTCCACTGGTTCGAGGACAAAAAGCTGATGGTCCACCTGCACCCCCAACCCCCCTGCGTGTGATTAATACAGAACATTTATGAAAATTACACATTTTAAGGCTCATTGTACAGGTAAACATCTGAAGGTTTTAACATGTTTGTACAACTAACTTTTAGATATATTTTAGGTGTTGTCTACAAAGTGGAATAATGTCTGTAACAGGGATCAGGACAGTAAATCTGAAAATACAAATAAAAGATGAAGTTCTGTTTATTGATCAAAGTTATAAAGATTTAATCATGTAGTATTTACAACTTGACAGTTATTACAAGTATATTGATTAGGATGAAGAGAAATACTGATTTTTGATTGTTTATTACATAATCTACCAGATTACATCACCACATTCAGTAATAATTGCTGCAAAATGTAATAACTATTACATAACGAGTTATTACAAAACCCGTTATTACACAACGAGTTATTACACAACAAGTTATTACACAAGTTATTACACAAGTTATTACACAAGTTATTACACAAGTTATTACACAAGTTATTACACAAGTTATTACACGAGTTATTACACGAGTTATTACACGAGTTATTACACAACGTGTTATTACACAACGTGTTATTACAAAACGTGTTATTACAAAACGTGTTATTACACAACGTGTTATTACAAAACGTGTTATTACAAAACCCGTTATTACACAACGAGTTATTACACAACGTGTTATTACACAACGTGTTATTACAAAACGTGTTATTACACAACGTGTTATTACACAATGTGTTATTACACAATGAGTTCTTCCAGACGTCTGAGAAACAAAAACACTTGTGGAAGTAAAGAAACATTTACCTGCTCCGCTGCCGTTAACGTGCACAGTTTGAGCCATGGCTGCAGACGTGCACTCTCTGTCCAACAGCAGTCATGCAGCAGAGACATGCATCAAGTCCAGATCCCCATGCAGCCTGCAGAGTGAGAGATCAGGTCAGAGGTCAGAGATCAGGTCAGAGGTCAGAGATCAGAGGTCAGAGGTCAGAGGTCAGGTCAGAGATCAGAGGTCAGAGGTCAGGTCAGAGGTCAGAGATCAGGACAGAGGACAGAGGTCAGGTCAGAGATCAGAGGTCAGAGATCAGGACAGACAGAATCATACCAATCAGTTTATTATTTATTTTATTTTATTTAGAATTTTATTCATTTCATTTGTAACAATTTTATACACAACATAAAAACAATCAAAATAAAATAATGAAAGGCAGCAGAAGAATAAATAATATCTGCTCCTTTATTATCCCAGGATATGTTCAAAATTAAAGTTAATTACAACAAAAACAACTGAAAACACAAAAAACAAAGTTAAACTTCAAACAACAACAACATGGATTCACTTCATACTTCCTGTTTGTTCAGAACAGATCAGATCTTTGTGTCATTTATACAAACATCTGAGAGTTTAACCTGCAGGTCATTGTTCTTCAACCAGACTCCTCCACACAGACCAGAACTGACCAGAACCAGACCAGAACTGACCAGAACCAGACTCAGACCAGACCCAGGTCAGAGCCAGACCAGAACTGACCAGAACCAGTTCAGAACCAGAACAGACCAGACCTGATCCAGGTCAGAACCAGACCAGAACCACAGACAAATGGATATTTTTCATCCAAGTTTAATAAACAACACAAAAGCTAGAAGAGGAAAAAGGCTAACTAAAAGCCAACAGCAGAAAGGAAGCTAAATGCTAACAGTAGCAGAAAGGAAGCTAAATGCTAACAGTAGCAGAAAGGAAGCTAAATGCTAACAGTAGCAGAAAGGAAGCTAAATGCTAACAGTAGCAGAAAGGAAGCTAAATGCTAACAGTAGCAGAAAGAAAGACTAAATGCTAACAGTAGCAGAAAGAAAGACTAAATGCTAACAGTAGCAGAAAGACTAAATGCTAACAGTAGCAGAAAGACTAAATGCTAACAGTAGCAGAAAGACTAAATGCTAACAGTAGCAGAAAGACTAAATGCTAACAG